ACCGTGAAAATAAAATGTTTACGAGTCAAAAGAGGGCGGTTTTATTTCATTGCTTATAAAGTTTAGCGATAATAAGTATGGCGACATATTTTCCAGTGTTCATAAAATTACTTATTATGGAATTGCCTCGAGGAAATGCGAGTAAAAAATTGCCCCATTGAAGACGCCATCCTTACGTTATTTTATTTTATTCGAAATTTTATTGGACCCAACAAAAGCGAACGAAATGTTTTTTTTGTTGGTGACGTCGTAAAGTTTAACACCGTCGGAATATATCACTTTGGAGTAAAATTGCGATGAGGATTTCGGAAGAGATTAATTGGAAAGGTGTGTAACAACAAGGGGATACGTTATTACGGCAACCCCTCCCCCGCCGAAAGTAATATTAAATTTTTATAAGAAGGGAAAAAAGAAATAGAAAAGTCTTTTCCGAGTAATATAGGTTTATGGCTTCCATCTGTGAGATTACTTTAGACGTTTCAGAAGAAAGTGGACTTTTCTGTGAGAGAGAGGATGAAATAAAAGAAACTCGGAAAAAATAAAAGCTTCACTTCTTTCACATACTGTTTTGTGAGCTTAAAAGCAGTTGTTATCAAACATATTCAGATGTTGTTGTCGAGTTTCACCGCTGTCCCCTCCCCAACCCCTGCTTCGCACAATGCCTCAACTTCCACCCTTCCCGCATTTTCTCAGACGATTCCATTCCGAATTATTATATTCTTATTTTTCCTCTCGCCGAATGCTCGGGACTTTGTTAAACTCTTTCTATTATTGTGCTCGTTCCAGATTTATTTTAATGCTTGTTTTCTTGTTTCACGAAACACTGACTCCTCAACAGAAATTATATTTATTGCCGAATGCACCGTTCGGAATGGAATCATCGATTCATTTTGCAATTTCCGACCGCGAATCGGATATTAATCCGACGGAAACGAGGGAAGAAACTCACGACTCCGCCTAGACCACCGTCTGATTGAACCATCAACCCCATCAAGGCCATCACACACAGAAAATCCACATGGTGACAATTGCATCAAGAACATAACTGGGGTTGACAACGCTCGCATTTCCTTTTTTCTCTCGTCATCGACCATGTAAAAATTAAAATGGATAAGTCGTAAATATTCCTGTCACATATCACTCATGTCAGAACCAAGTTCAAGTCAGTTCAATTACATTCTATTATTTAACTGAACGATAAAATCTACATTAACCTTCTCACTTTCACTTGCTCCTTAACATAAATTAATTAATAACTGTGTCACAAGTCTGTTTTGGAAACATCGCCATAGCGTGTCAGTCGAATTAATAAAAATCATTATAATTGGTCATGTCTCATCTAGAGAAAGCAATGTTCCTAATTGACGTTTACAAAAAACACTTGCGTTTTAAATTATTTAAACAATCATATTAAGGTTTTAGTGGTTGTCAAGTCTTATCGGCATTTCGTTCCTCAATAAAACTTTAACTTTCATTTGCTTATCACGTTTTATTATTTCCTAGAAACTCTTTGACATGGTCAAATGGCATAATCGTGGTGTTAATTACCGTACTTTCAACTAATTAAGCTATTTTTAACAAAAAAAAATAACTTAAGTTTGTAAACACTTACGAACTGATTGACATGCACGTTTATAGTTTGTAAAAAATAAAAACAAAATCGAGTTTCAGTTTCTATTGCGAAGTCGTAAATTTGCTCTGTTTCTCATCGTTGAAAAAATGCATCAAACTGATATTTATTTCTTTCATGACCGACATGGACGTCTCTAGCCTGTTGCCACATCTCGTAGCTTTCTAACTTACCACATTTATATATATCTCATCCAGATAACGTATTTGGTATTCCAATTTTTTCTTTGTCGTGTCCCGTATCGGCAAAAATGACGCAAAATTGTTTAAATGTAAAACTGATGACAAATTTTACAACAATGTTGCTTTATTTAGTAAGAACATGCAGCTACACGAGTGTCTACAAGTGATTACAAGTTACCACTGTCCTAATTTGCCGCTCATTTTTACGGTAATGTTTACTCACTGACTATCATAAAGTGGCATAATTTGATTATAATCCCTTTTCCGACGAGGCGGCACAGTCATAGCCTAGTTCGATATAACAGACAGTCCAGACGTTGCGTGTTACATTATAATTATATGACACTACTAATTAGTAACAAGAAACAAGACAATTGTCAGCGCATGCCCTACATTTGACAATCAATCAATCAATCAATCATTTGTTACATTTACTTATTTCTGCCACAAACAACAGTTGGTAAAGGCAACAATAAAATCCCATTTTCTGCAGCATCAATCCAGATTGCAACCACGGTCGGGTTCGTAGCCAAAAACAGTACATTTTGTAACACTAATAACTCGGTTAAATTTACTACATTTCCAATAACCATTCCAAACTCGAACCATAATTCTTATTTGATTGCTGGTTGCAGTTACACATCAGATTATGACTGCAATCATCATCTATAATAGACGCCTTGTATTTCTCAACAGGTACGGAATTAATTAATTTATACTGTAATAATAACACCCATAACACGCATTAAACATCCCCTCTTTCCTCCTAATTATACCCCTTGGATCCTCCAACTTCAAAATGTGTAATTGTAAATTCAAAATTATGTAGTGCGGAAGTGTAGCGTTCTCTCCATCAACATCAACAAGAACGATTTATGTGTGAGACAACGACTTTTTCTTCTTGCCTCAAAATACCGAGGACAATAATTGCGGTTATGTGAAGATTGCAGCGACCTTCACCGATGCAATTCGAAATATTGTAACAATTTCCTCAGGCATTTGTACGGTTCTGGAGTTATTGAAGTACAAAAGATGCGCCGAGATGGAGGGAAAATGTCACTATTATTTGACGGTACGCGATTCATCAACTTATAGTTGGACGAGGCATTCTTCGCGGACAATAGTGCACTTTATCTGGAAGTTATTGGATATCTGATCAGCGGTTTGTAAGTAATGAAAACGTAATGTATGTCCAAAGTACTTATTCTCACTGAAAGCAGATTCTAAAACCAAATGACACATTCTTCTACACCAACACATTTTCCTAATCGTATTATAAACAAAACAAATCATAATCTAAACACTAGGCGTTTTTCATAAACCTTGACGAAACATTACATTTTAGTCCCCCGTTATGGTTTTAGTTAGCTTGTGTGGGAACTTCCTTAACTCTTGTAACTTTACCTTCGGGGTGAGCTGGCAATTACGACAATTCTCCCCCAACGCCATTTAGACATATACTACTAGTCCCTACGCAAATGGGTTTCTTTTTCATATTGTTGGGCTAATATTAAATACAGTTAGCTCTAAAACCACCGGCGTTAAATCCCCTTCACATGCCATCGCCCTAAATTGCAACAACATTTGGTCGTTATCAAAGCATCTTTCCATCAGTTCATCTCCAAAAGCAGCTTGCACAAGCTTCGCCAAGACATTGATGTTGCATCGGGCAAATTTATAGCCATCGACCGAACGCTGGTGCCCAGTGAAATAGGTTTGACAGTTTATGTAAGGGTTGAGTTATTGTCGGAAACCGCCACAGTATATGTAAATGTGAGGGAAAGGGCAACCGCGGTGTCTAAACCCTGTTCGTTTCTAACGGGACTGATTGACGAACGGCACCAATCGGCCACTAAATAACCCTTCTTGGATCGACATTGATATGTAAAGTGGCGGGTGTTAAAAATCTGTATTTGCTTGAAAATTCGTTCACATGTTGATCCGCAAGAAGTCGGTTGCGGCCATTACTCAGCTGGAATCTACATACTGGTTCAGAGACAATGGCACCTGATTTACGAGCCGCATTTTAATTCCAGACATAATGTCTCTTTGATTTGTGACGATGTGATCAGGAACATTATCAGCAGCCGGACACAAATCAAGTCCTGTCGCGGAATCCAAGCTAGAAAAAAGCCGGCTAGACCAGACTATTAGCGACCTTAAACGGGGCCATATTCGTCCATTGTGTCGGTTTTTAAGCTCCAGACTACTAACCCGATTTCTAGTCATGCAACTGCCACTGTCGATAATTTTTAAAGAAAATGGTGAAAGTGAAACTCTGACACAACAGATTTATTGCACGATTACGAATGCTTAATCGCAAACCACTCCACTTTTATATCTCTTGATGTAATAATGGATGAGAACGTAAAAAATGGAACAACCGACAGAAATCCATTTGGAATATCCGAGTATCCAATCTCTTTTAATCTGTATCAAGTAATTCTCTTAGGCACACTTCAGGAAAAATGAAGGCATTCCCGAACAAATGAAATGTATTCCCCCAGGATACATGTGTACATTATTTAGAAAGAATCTTGAAAACCCAAACGCGCACTCTTGACTTCCATCAACACACCGGTCAGGCGCTAATGACGAAACGAATTATTAAAAATTTAAATCTCGCGCCGAATCGTAGTGTCGATGCTACAGGAAATAATAATATCGACAATTAATCAACACATGGGACGCGGGCCGTAAATCAATTAAAGCCGACTCTGGAATTGAGGTTATGTTCGTGAAAACATTCCCAAAGGTTAAAGAAGCCGAAAACTTAACGAAAAGTGAGAACTTACCTTAAAGACGCTGAGTACGAAGACACCGGCACACTGCAATATTCTAAACTCTTGATTAATTCTTTACAGCTGTACTTGATGCGCACAACACACCGGAATAAAAGCCGCCTTTGATTTATGTATTTATTTGAGTTGAATAAAAATAAATAAAGACAGGGGTTTAAAATAATTAATTAAGTCCGGGGTGATATGGGAACGCAAGAAATAATGATAATCATAGAGCAACAACATAAAATTAAGGTTAATTAATTTATAAAGTAGCCGCGACACCTAGCGAAATCATCCATCACTAGTCGGCCGCGATCTACTTGTGTAGATGGCGCCTGTTACCAAGCAATTCGATGCCAGTTCAGATTTAAATTTCCGAAAATGTGAAAAATGATAAAATTTGTGATTGTTAACGTCGTTTATTTTTAATTAATGAACAAAATTATCAACTATCGTATTACGCATTATCTACATCAATAACAGACTCCTTGGGAAACTTTGAAAGTAACTTCTCATATGCTTCGTTCACGGACTTTTCACTTGTCGACTCCAAGGTAATTTTCACTTTATATAACCTAAAATGCAACCATCGGTAAAAAATACCAAATGCTAAAACGAAATCTTACGCATGGAACAGTTGGGGGTATGATCCCACATGCACGTCCGGAAAAGTGCCAGCTAATCTCCCCAATTCATCAGCAATTTTGTCCTCCGTCAAAGTAACATAAATTACTTTACTATAAAACGTTACATTACCCCCTTTAAACAACTGAGCACCAACACTTTTAAAAGACTTGAGGAAAAGCTCGGGAATTCCGGGAAACATGTACACATTTTCAACCGAAACAACAGGGTAGGCAAACTCACTTGTGAACGTTAGTTTCGCTGTTTCTGGGACCTGCAATACATTCAAATATTCATTACAGATGCAAGGAGTCTCACCATAGCTAGTTTCATCCCTGGATGGTTTACATCTGTGGTTTTATAAAATCGCTCACAAAGTCCCCGCAACTGACCATTGAGGGCTACCGGGACACCAAAAGCTTTTCCCACAGCTACAAACAACACTAATACGGTAAGTCCTTGAGGTAATTTTTATACCTTCAAAAGTCACATCATCGTGAGTTGGTCCAATGCCTCCAGAAGTAATTACGTAATTGTACGCCTTAGAAAACGTTTTAATTTCATTACATATTTCATCAACGTCGTCAGCTATAATTGAAATCTGTCTAACTTCATTAGGGTTTTCATTTATTTTGTGATCAAACCTTTCTGACATTGACTCCAAATTTGTACAAGTCCTTTGTGATATGGGGTGAGTTGCAATCAACTACTTCCCCTCTCAGAAGTTCGTCACCTAGAACTAATTTAAAAATTAAAAAATTACATTGTCATGTGTTCAAAACAACCTAAAATTCCTGCTGTTTTTAGTTGGCCACTAGACATACTTCTTAGGTAGTATGGCGCTCTGATCAATTTAGCAGTAGTAGCTACAGACATGTGGTTATTAGTATTAACAAGATTTAACTAAAATAGTCACAATTAACGGATTCTGTTATCACTTCTTTGATGTTATTCCTAAACAGGTGATTTTGACATGGTTGACATGCGCTGAAGTGACTTAAACACTGCCGCTGCGCCTTATTTAAATTAGACAAAAGGGGTAATAAGTTTATAAAAATCACACTGTTTTTGATTTGTTAATTTTTATGTGACACACTTTGAACAAAAGAATGAAATTTATTCTTTATACTGTTAAAAAAAAGTGAATACTGTTAACATACAGTGGCCATTGTTTGGAAATGCATGGTGGATTATTCCGGTGTGGTACAAGTTTAAGTTATGTTTAAACAGTCACAATTGACAAGCAATTATCCACCTTTGCTTGAGCTTTTTATAATTTATTTTATTTATCATAAAATAAAAATTATTTTAATGTAACTTTAATTGTTTTAATTATATGTATATATTTGGGTGGGTGTGATGTGTTACTTTCAATCCTCGGACCAATGGCCACTTTTATATTTTCTCGACGTTTCATGATCCTTAGAGTACGAAAAAAGTAGTCTCCCGTTTCCGTCTGTCTGTCTGTCTGCCTGCCTGCCTGCCTGCCTGTCTGTCTGTGTGTGTGTCTGTCTGGTGTCTGTATCCATTTTTATTAGACACGTAGTTCCCGAAACTGCTAGACCGATTGTTGTAGATGGTTAAATGCTAACCAAAATTTTGCTAATAATCCTCACCAATATTTTGATCATGTCATTTAAAAGAATTCTATATTTATTTGATTTAACTGTTATACAATAATATAGTCCTATAAGTGTGTAGTACGAACCCTTTTTGAGTTTTTCCCTAACCGTCCAAATTTTTGCACGGTATAATAACAGTTTACCATTAGCGTAAGCCCTACAGTGGTCAATGGTTACAAGTCAGGAATGCAGACCGGACGTCGCGCGTTGATTCCAAACCTGGCCTTTCGTTTTTTTTTTCTTTATTTCTCTGGCATTGTATATTCTCTACGTTTATCACGTCATAACAAATTTTTTATTCATGCAATTATTATTACTCCACTTTCTCGAAAAGGTGAGAATACGCCTTCCTTATTTAAAAATGTAAAATCTTCTCGAGGGCGTCAAATGTGTTTTTTTAATAATGTGAAACCTCCTCGGGGGCCCCAACTGTCTTTTTTTAAAAAAATAAAACCTTCTCGAGAGCCCCAAATGTATTTTTAAAGAATGTGAAATCTTCTCGGGAGTCCCAATTGTTTTCTTTAAAATTGTAAAACCTTCTCGTGGGTCCCAACTGTCTTGAAACCTTCTCTCGGGTCCCAACTGTTTTTTTTTTTAATAATGCGAAACCTTCTCGGGAATCCAATTGCCTTTTTTGAAAATGTAAAACCTTCTCGGAGACACCAAATGTAATTTTTTAGAATGTGAAACCTTCTCGGGGGTCCCAACTGTCTTTTTTGAAAATATAAAACCTTCTCGGGAGCCCCAAAAGTTTTTTTTTTAATGTGAAACCTTCTCGGGGGTCCCAAAACTGTCTTTTTTTAAGAATGTGCAAACTTTTCGGGGATCCCAACTGTATTTTTTAAGAATGCGAAACCTTCTCGGGAGTTCCAATAGTCTTTTTTAAGAATGTAAAACCTTCTCGCAGGTCCCAACTGTTTTTTTTTTTTTAAGAATGCGAAACCTTCTCGGAATGCAATTGTCTTTTTTTAAAATGTTGAACATTCTCGGAGGTACCAAATGTTTTTTTTTAGAATGTGGAACCTTTCTGTGGGTTCCAACTGTCTTTTTTTAAGAATGCAAAACCTTCTCGGGGGCCCCCAATGTGTTTTTTTTTAGAATATGAAACCTTCTCGGTAGTCCCAATTGTCTTTTTAAAAATGTAAAATACTCTCGGGGGCGCCAAATGTTTTTTTTTAATGTGAAACCTTCTCGCGGGTCCCAACTGTCTTTTTTAAGAATGCGAAACCTTCGCGGGGGCCCCAAATGTCTTTTTTTGAAAATGTGAAACGTTCTCGGTAATCAACTGTTTTTTTGAAAATTGTAAAACCTTCGTGGGAGCCCCAAAAGTCTTTTTTTTTTAATGTGAAACCTTCTCGGGGGTCCCAACTGTCTTTTTTAAGAATCTGTAAACTTTTCGGGGGTCCCAGCTGTCTTTTTTAAGAATGCGAAACCTTCTCAGGAGTTCCAATTGTCTTTTTTAAAAATGTAAAACCTTCTCGCGGGTCCCAACTGTTTTTTTAAGAATGCGAAACCTTCTCGGAATCCATTTGTTTTTTTTTAAAATGTAGAACCTTCTCGGAGTTACCAAATGTCCTTTTTTAGAATGTGAAACCTTCTCGCGGGTCCTAACTGTCTTTTTTTAAGAATGAAAAACCTTGTCGGGAGTCCCAAATGTCTTTTTTAAGAATGTAAAACCTTCCCGTGGGTCCCAATTGTTTTTTTTTTTAAATGTGAAATCTCGGGGGCGCCAGTTGTTTTTTTTTTTTAGAATGTGAAACCTCGGGAGTCCCAACTGTCTTTTTTGAAAATGTAAAACCTTCTCGGGAGCCCCAAATGTCTTTTTTTAAGAATTCGAAACCTTCTCGGCGGTCCCAACTGTCTTTTTTAAAAATGTAAAACCTTCTCGGGGCCCCCAAATTTATTTTTTAAAAATGTGAAACCTTCTCGGGGGTCCCAACTGTCTTTTTTGAAAATATAAAACCTTCTCGGGAGCCCCAAAAGTTTTTTTTTTTAATATGAAACCTTCTCGGGGGACCCAAAACTGTCTTTTTTAAGAATGTGTAAACTTTTTTAGGGTCCCAACTGTCTTTTTTAAGAATGCGAAACCTTCTCGGGAGTTCCAATTGTCTTTTTTAAAAATGTAAAACCTTCTCGCAGGTCTCAACTGTTTTTTTTTAAGAATGCGAAACCTTCTCGGAATACAATTGTCTTTTTTAAAAATGTAGAACATTCTCGGAGGTACCAAATGTTTTTTTTTTAGAATGTGAAACCTTTTCGTGGGTTCCAACTGTTTTTTTTAAGAATGCAAAACCTTCTCGGGGGCCCCCAATGTGTTTTTTTTTAGAATGTGAAACCTTCTCGGTAGTCCCAATTGTATTTTTAAAAATATAAAACCCTCTCGGGGGCGCCAAATGTTTTTTTTAATGTGAAACCTTCTCGCGGGTCCCAACTGTCTTTTTTAAGAATGCGAAACCTTCTCGGTGGCCCCAAATGTCTTTTTTTAAAAATGTGAAACGTTCTCGGTAATCAACTGTTTTTTTGAAAACTGTATAACCTTCGTGGGAGCCCCAAAAGTCTTTTTTTTAATGTGAAACCTTCTCGGGGGTCCCAACTGTCTTTTTTAAGAATCTGTAAACTTTTCGGAGGTCCCAACTGTCTTTTTTAAGAATGCGAAGCCTTTTCAGGAGTTCCAATTGTCTTTTTAAAAATGTAAAACCTTCTCGCGGGTCCCAACTGTTTTTTTTAAGAATGCGAAACCTTCTCGGAATCCATTTGTCTTTTTTAAAAACGTAGATCCTTCTCAGAGTTACCAAATGTCTTTTTTTAGAATGTGAAACCTTCTCGCGGGTCCCATCTGTCTTTTTTTAAGAATGAAAAACCTTGTCGGGAGCCCCAAATGTCTTTTTTTTTAAGAATGTAAAACCTTCCTGTGGGTCCCATTTGTTTTTTTTTTTAAGTGAAATCTTCTCGGGGGCGCCAGTTGTTTTTTTTTTTAGAATGTGAAACCTCGGGAGTCCCAACTGTCTTTTTTGAAAATGTGAAACCTTCTCGGGAGCTCCAAATGTCTTTTTTTAAGAATTCGAAACCTTCTCGGCGGTCCCAACTGTCTTTTTTAAAAATGTAAAACCTTCTCGGGGCCCCCAAATGTATTTTTTAAAAATGTGAAATGTTCTCGGGAGTCCCAATTGACTTTTTCAAAATTGTAAAACCTTCTCGTGGGCGCTAAATGTTTTTATTATTTATTATTTTTTTATTTTTATTTATTATCGATTTATATTGTCCTGTAATAGGGTTATCTGTTGGGCAATGAAGATTATTATTATTATTATTATTATTTATTAGAATGTGAAATCTTCTCGGGAGCCCCAAAAGTCTTTTTTTTAATGTGAAACTTTCTCGGGGGTCCCAACTGTTTTTTTAAGAATGCGAAACCTTCTCGGGAGTTCCAATTGTCTTTTTTAAAAATGTAAAACCTTCTTGCGAGTCCCAACTGTTTTTTTTTTTTAAGAATGCGAAACCTTTTCGGGATCCAATTGTCTTTTTTAAAAATGTAGAACCTTCTCGGAGTTACCAAATGTCTTTTTTTAGAATGTGAAACCTTCTCGCGGGTCCCAACTGTCTTTTTTTAAGAATGAAAAACCTTGTCGGGAGCCCAAAATGTTTTTTTTTAAGAATGTGAAACCTTCCCGTGGGTCCCAATGGTTTTTTTTTAATGTGAAATCTTCTCGGGGGCGCCAGTTGTTTTTTTTAGAATGCGAAACCTCGGGGGTCCCAACTGTTTTTTTTGAAAATGTAAAACCTTCTCGGGAGCCCCAAATGTCTTTTTTGAAGAATTCGAAACCTCGGCGGTCCCAGCTGTCTCTTTTAAAAATGTAAAACCCTCTCGGGGCCCCCAAATGTCCTTTTTAAAAATGTGAAATGTTCTCGGGAGTCCCAATTGACTTTTTCAAAATTGTAAAACCTTCTCGTGGGCCCCAAATGTATTTTTTAAAAATGAGAAACCTTCTCGGGAGTCCCAATTGTTTTTGTTAAAAATGTAACACCTTCTCGATAGCCCCAAATCTCTTTTTTTTAATGTGAAACCTCCTCGGGGATCCCAAGTATCTTTCTTTAAGAAGGTGAAACCTTTGTTTCTAGTGACTAGTACTTTCTATATTGTTTTTACTCCGTAGAGGTTATCACGCAAAAGTAAAACTCTGCAAAATCAAATTTTATAATTTTTCAGAGGAGCAGTATTTTTTGGACTGTGCTTCAGAAGAGAGGGAAGATCTGTCGAAATAACTTTCAACCAATTTTTTCGGGTATGAACTCATTTCAATTGTACCTAGTTTATTTTTGACTTATTGCTAAATTATTATAGTCTCTTTTATTTTTTTTCACTCGATGTTTGTCATGAAATCTCCCTTTTAATACTATCACATTATTGTTTTTTTTTCGTTTTCATTTGGAAAACTGTTTCTCACCTCTATTGTATCTTTTTCATCTTGTAATTAGCTAAATCTGTACACTTTAAGAGAATATCACTTTTAATTGCGTTCTTCTATATTTCCAGACTTTCGATTTTTATTTCTGGTATTACATTGAAAATCTTTGGCGTGCAAGAAAATATGCGAATTAATTTGAGTCACACTTAACATACCTACCAGAATCAAAAATTTTATTAATACGTGAATCACGTACAACTGTCCACGTAAATTTCAGCGGTCAGAAAACCCCAAGCGAAGAGCACATTTCACATCAACGTGAATGGAAAATTCTCGATGTCAAACTTCATTAAATAATTATATCGATCAATATGCTTGCTAATAACATACCTACCATGCTAGACACACCTCACTTGGCTGTTATTATGCAAACTAATGAAATTTCTATGAATTGTGTGACTAAGAAGCCAATGAGCTGAGATTCCAAAATTTATTCTGCGGAATTCAAACACGTTAAGGTTTCAAACCACTCACGTCGATTTGGAGACCTGAAATTTTGTGAATGTGTAGTAAATTGTTGCACGTGTATTTACACGTGTTATAATGCGATGGAAAGTTTCACTGGTTGTTGTTGAAGGTAATTTAAAATGTTTTCTTAAGTAGAATTTATTGACTTGCTACTCTAGATCACAACATTCATCAGAGTTTTATGATAAAACAGTCATATTGCTCGTGTTCGTTGGAGTGTGGAGTTCGAAATAAGTGTAGATGTGTGTGTAAAATCATTTACATAATTTATTTACTTTTAATTATAGATAAATACTACATGTTCTACTTAATTATATATAATATTGAGCATCCGTTAATATACAAGTATTCGTCTAAGCGTTCAAGTAGCAGAATATTTTTTGTAATTTAAAGTACATATCCGTTTAAGCTACATAAAATAGAATTTTCTGCTAGTCAAACAACTCAGACTCGGTCGGGATACGCAACACAAATAACACTAATTATTAAGAGCCCGTGGGGTATATCAAATGGCTTATCAAAAACGACATTGAAAAAATCTAATTACAAAAATTGTAAAAAATTTCAGTTCAGTCATAATAATATAAATAAGTATCTAGTCGAAAGTATACGTGTGCATCACTTGACATCAATTTGTAGATTTACCGTGCGAATTTTCCACATGCACATGATCAGATCGAATAACGGGGACTCGCGAAGTCCCCACAAAAAGGCACAAAACCTAATTAAGTTACAACAGAGTAGAGTTCATTTTGGCACCCGAGAATGCTTTAAGTTTAAAGTTCGAGACTAATCAATTATAAAACTGTCTTATCACTTGCACAACACTGCTGACTCGTGCATTGTCACTATATCCTTCGAGGGCTCATCTCCTCCTCCTCGACTCCGCCGCGGCTATCATCTGCCTCAACATCGGTTCGGGACTGCAGGCTTTTGGATCACATTTCATTTGACCGTTGCCGCCACATCTGCAAAAAACAAACAATCAAAATCCTGCCGAATTCGCGCAAATTCGAAAACTTACGTGCAGTGGAGGCAGGGTCCAGACGCTGACTTAATCTCTTCACCAACGTTGTACGCTCTGCCCTGGATTTGACATCCGCTCCTGTGGGCTCTGCCTTTGTAAGCGTGCGAGAAGAAGTGCGGAGGTAACGTGGTCGTCGTTGTCGTAGTGGTCGTTGTTACATTGATGCTAGTGGCCATAGAAACGGGGCATTCGTACCTCGGGCAGCAGAAGCCACGAATGGGCTCTTCGTGACATCGAGGAATTGGCGGTGGACAACTCTGCTGCAAGCAGATGATGTCACTGCGGAAGCAGAAGCAGAAATCGCAAGGATCGTCGCGAGGTATCTGCTGAGCGGAAACGTAAACCTTGCCGCCGTACCGGCAGGTTCCTGGACCAAAGGCACTTTGATCTTCATCGTATTCTTCCTCTTCCGGAGTTTGGTACTCGGGTTCTTCAGGAATGTGGTGTGGTGGGTGTGCGGTGGTTGAACTTGTGAGAGGCGTGGACGGAGCTGACGTGGACAGTTCACCTGGGATGGATTTCTTCGTGGTGTCGTCTTCTTTGGGTCCTGAAGTGTATAACCCAGTACTAGGAGTAGGGGTTGAGGTAAACGTAGGAGAGGTGAATGCTTCTTCTGGTTTGCCGGTGGGTTCTTCACCTTCGCCTGGAATGGCAGGACGTTTTTCAGGTTGTACCGTTGTAGGAACTTCGTGTGGTTTCTCAGTCGAAATAGGGCTGACGTACTCAGTCACGCTTTCTTCTGGTTTCTGTGGAGGGATTTCAGTCAGTTTGCTTTCATCTTCAGCGCTAGGTGTCACGGGTTTAACTGTCTCGACAGGAACACCTTCAGTAGCTTGTTCTTCCTTTTCTGTAACTTGTTCTTGTCCAGGAAGGCTTTCTTTCGGTGGTTGTGTACCTACATACGACGGTACTTCAGTAACTTGTTCTTTCGTTGGTTCTTGTCCGGTGGTTTGTTCAGGCAAAACTTCTTTCGGTGGTTGCGAGACTTCAGTTACTGCTTCTTCGCCTTCTTTGTGTGGTTCTGTAACTCCGTGTGATGGAACTTCGGTAGGTAATTGTGGAACTCCTTTTTCGGTACCTTCAGCTTTCTCTGTTGCTTGTTCAGTAGGCACAGGAGTGACAGTGACCACAGGTTTAGCAACTTCATCGTGTTCAACTGGAACACTTGTCACGGCAGGAATTTCATGTTCAGTGACTTCACCTTGTTCAACTGGCACGTCTGTCACTCCAGGAGTTTCAGGTTCGGCAACTTCACCTTGTTCAGCTGGTACTCCTGGCACGGTAGGAATTTCATGTTCGGTTACTTCACCTTGTTTAATTGGAACGTCTGTCACTCCAGGAATTTCAGGTTCAGTAACAACATCGTGTTCAACTGGAGTGTCCATCGTTCCAGGAATTTCAGGTTCAGCAACATCAGCGGGTTCAACTGGAGTGTCCATCGTTCCATGAATTTCAAGTTCAGCATCATCATCGTGTTCAACTGGAGTCTCCATCGTTCCGTGAATTTCAGGTTCAGCAACATCATCGTGTTCAACTGGAGTGTCCATCGTTCCATGAATTTCAGGTTCAGCAGCTTCACCTTGTTCAACCGGAGCTACTGTCACTTTAGGAACTTCGGGTTCAGTTGCAACAGTTGATTCGGGTATTTCATCTACTTTTTCGGCGGCTTCAGTGGCTTCTCCATGTATTACAGAAGGAGTGAGAGTAGAAGTTCCGTGTTCTGGTACGTGCTCTGGTACATGTTCTGGTACACCTGGAGCAGCAGTACTGCCTTCAGGTTCATAAACAGCAGTAGTGTGTTCATCGCCCTTTTCAATTTCATCCTGTTCAGGTGTTTGATCACCCTCATAAATAGGGGGAATGTAAACGAAGGGTCTAGATGTTTTCGGTGTTTCCTTAGATGTTGGAGTAGTAGTTTCGGATACAGATGGTTGTCCGTCTTTATCTGTAACTTCAGGCATACTTTCAGGAGAAGTGCTGCTTTCAGGAACCAAACTAGGAGACAATGTAGTGCCTTCTTTTCCTGGTACACTTTCTGGTATAGTTTCGGGCAATATGTGGCTAGAAGTGGTAGATTCTCCCTCTTTTTCCGGAACTTCACCACCTTCTCCAGGAACACGAGTCGGAAGCACAGTCGCAATTTCTTCTTCTTCTGGAATGACAGGACTAGCTTCAGGTGGTACATAACCAGCAGTTGTATGTTCGCCTTCTTCTGGAACATATTCTGGTACTCGAGTGCTATCTTCTTGTGGTTTATATCCAGCGGTTGTATGTGCACTTTCTTCTTCTGGAATATGTTCTGGGACAATAGTGCTACCTTCTTGTGGCGTGTAACCACTAGTTGCATGTGCACTTTCTTCTTCTGGGACGTGTTCTGGTACAGTCGAGCTACCTTCATGTGGTATGTAAGCCGAAGTTGTATCTTCTTCTGGAACGTGTTCTGGTGCGACAGAGCTGCCTTCGTGTGGGACGTACCCAGAAGTTGTATGTTCACCTTCTTGTTCTGGAATGTGTTCTGGTACAACAGAGCTACCTTGTGGTTCATAGCCAGTAGTTGCATGTTCGCCTTCTTCTGGAATATGTTCTGGCACAGCAGAATTAACTTCATGCGGTACGTAGCGAGTAGTTGTATGTTCACCTTCTTCCGGTGCTTGTTGTGGTATAGACGGACTGGTTTCAGATACTGTATATCCGCTTGTGGTGTGTTCCCCTTCTTCTCCTGTGATTTGTGGTAATTCATCGGTAGTACCTTCTTGTTCAGGATGTACATGCACTGGTGTAGGAGCGTAGCGAGCCGTCGTGAATTCACCTTCTTGTTCAGTAACTCCAGGTTCTTGAGAAACTGATGGTTCACCTTGTTTTTCTGTAGCAGTAGGCTGTTGTTCTTCAGTGGGTTTTTCTGTAACTTCTCCGGAAGGAATATGTTCTGGATGTATAGTTGTAATTTTAGGTGATTCACCAGGAACATGTTCAGGAATCGTGGCTCCTGGTACGGTGGTGACTTCAGGTTGTTGACCAGGTAGATGTTCAGAAGGTTCAGTTTCTTCGCCAGGTGCTTTTTCAGTGCTCTTCTCAGGAATTTCCGGAACAAATGTCACACCTTCTTGTTCGGGTATGTGATCCTCCTTTGGTTTTTCAGTTATGTGGCTGGCACTTGGAGGCATTTCTTCCGTGGTAGGTACCTCTGGTTGTTGACCAGGTACGTGTTCTGAAGGTTCAGTTTCTTCGCCAGGCGCTTTTTCAGTGCCTTTCTCTGGAATTTCCGGAACGTGTGTCACACCTTCTTGTTCGGGTATGTGATCCTCCTCTGGTTTTTCAGTTACGTGACTAACACTTGGGGGCATTTTTTCAGTGATACCTACTTCAGTCACTGTTTGTAAGATCTCAGGTTCTGTTTCGAATTGTCCTGGAAGTTTTTCGGTAACAACAGGCACCTCCGGTTTTGAAGTAACTTTTTCTGGAACTTCAGTAACAATATGTGGTTCAGTTACATGCTCTTCGGGTTTATATTGATCTGTCGTTTCCTTTTCTTCTTCTTGTTCTTCTTCTTCTTCCTCATGATGCTCACCATCAAAGTGTGGAATAGGTTCTTCCACTCGTTCCGTAACTGGTGCTTCAGGTGCTGTAACGCCAGATTCTGTACCTGTTTCAGGTTCCTTCTTAATTTCAGTTGTCGCAGTTTCGTCACGTTCTGGTTCCACACCTGGTTTTGAAGGTTCTTGTGTGACGCTTGGAATTTCTTCGCCACTTTCGGCACCTGGTAATGAGGGTGCATGTGTACCGTGTGGAATTTCTTCTTCGACACCTTCAGTAACACCTGGTTTTGAAGGTTCTTGTGTAACGCTTGGAATTTCTTCTTCGCCACTTTCGGCACCTGGTAATGAGGGTTCATGTGTACCGTGTGGAATTTCTTCTTCCACACCTTCAGTAACACCTGGTTTGGAAGGTTCTTGTGTAACGCTTGGAATTTCTTGTTCGACACCTTCAGTAACACCTGGTTTTGAAGGTTCTTGTGTAACGCTTGGAATTTCTTCTTCGCCACTTTCGGCACCTGGTAATGAGGGTTCATGTGTACCGTGTGGAATTTCTTCTTCCACACCTTCAGTAACACCTGGTTTGGAAGGTTCTTGTGTAACGCTTAGAATTTCTTCTTCGACACCTTCAGTAACACCTGGTTTGGAAGGTTCTTGTGTAACGCTTGGAATTTCTTCTTCGACACCTTGAGTAACACCTGGTTTTGAAGGTTCTTGTGTAACGCTTGGAAGTTCTTCTTCGCCACTTTCGGTACCTGGTATTGAGGGTTCATGTGTACCGTGTGGAATTTCTTCTTCGACACCTTCAGTAACACCTGGTTTGGAAGGTTCTTGTGTAACGCTTGGAATTTCTTCTTCGGTACTTTCAGTAACACCTGGTTTTGAAGGTTCTTGTGTAACGCTTGGAATTTCTTCTGTGACACCTTCAGTAACACTTGGTTGTTCTGGAATATGTTCCTTAACTGTCTCAGTGCCACTTTCTGGTCTGACTGTAGTCACTTTTTCTTTCTCCACTTCACCCTCGTCACTAACTCCTTTAGGTATTTCAGTCACTTCGCCAATTCCTGGTTGTTTGCTTTCAGTTACAGTTTCTGAAACATGTTCAGTTGTAATTTTCCCAGGTTCCATTTCTGGTACATGTACTGAAGGTTCATATTCGTCATGTGTTACACCTTCTTGTTCTTCACTTTCTGTAACAGTTATTGGAACCTCATCTGTCAAACCTTCGATTTCGACTGGTTGTTTCGTAGTCAATTCGGAAACACCTCCCGGAACTTCACTTGGTTTTGTTGTAATGAAGTCTGAAGGTATTTCTTTTTCTGTCTGAGCAACTGCACTTTCTGTAACACCTTCGCCTGGTATATGTTGCGGTCGTGGTTCGGTTGTACTTTCGATTTCACCAGGCATCTTTATTTCAGTCGCAGGTTCAACTTCGGGCAAACGAGTTGGAGAAATATCGTATGACGGACTTGTGTGACCTGTTATCAAATTCTCCTCGTCATCCGGTATTTCTTCTTCAGGGGTTTGATCATGAACCACACCTTTTGGATATTCTGTTGTTCCTTGTAACTCTGGCTGTTCTTCAGAAACTGGTTTGCCTGTGGAGGCTTCTTGACCAATTTCTACAGCTGGTTGTTCTGTTTCTTTCTCAATATCATGTCCCGGTTCAGTCACGTGCACAACAGGTACAGTAACCTTTGAAATTTCACTTTCCGTTACTGGAACCTCTGTGCCAGTGGGAATATGTTCTGTCGGTTTGCCAGTGGGAATATGTTCTATCGGTTTGCCAGTTGTGATTTCTGTAACGTGATCTTCAGGTATTTGTGCAGGAAGTTCGGTTTCGTGTTCTGGAACTTGCTCTTCAGGTAATTGCGGTTTTGTGATAGGCTTTTCTGGGAGAACAAATTCTGGCAATTCAGTTGCATCGCGACCAGATCCCGTAGTACTTTCAGGTCTGACTGTACCTTCTTCACTGGGAATAATAACATTAACACCGATTGTACCAGGAGCTGTTTCTGTTGTGGTAGTTTCTACTCTGTGACTGTCGGATTCCATACTGGTGACACCTGGTACGGCTGCAACAACAAAATTTAAATATTTGATCCCAAAATTGAAAAAGAAATACTTACTGCAACTATATGTAGGACAGCAGCTATCGGGTCCCTGATAAACAGGCATACAATGTTGTAAGTTTGATGGCGGTGGAGTACAAGTCACAGATTCGCATTGCAAAATAGAACTCATACATTTACAAGATATTTGACAATGATTTATCGGAGGAACATTAGTATTGTTCTTGTATGTTTGTCCATCAACTAAGCAGCTGCCTTCACCAGGTATGCCGTGGTCTTCTTCTGAAGGATGTTCCAGTTCGTCATGTACAGATGGTTTGTATGGTGGTTGTTCAGTAGTTTCACCTTCTTTTTCTGAGGGAACGGAAGGTGTAAATGCACCAGGCATTTCTTCTGTTGCAGTAGGTTCTTCGCTATGTTCTTCAGGTAAAATATGTGAAGGTATTTCTGTAACTTTTGGTTCGCCAGTTGCAGCTTCAGAAGGCATTTCGGTTCCGGTAACTGTTGGCTCTTCTTCTTCTTTGCCTGGTTTCTCGGGTGTTTCAGTAGTTTCTCCCTTGTCGGGAATATATTTAGAAGTAGTAGGTCCTTTACCAGGCTCTTCTTCGACTGGTGTTCCAGTTATTGGTGTTTCTGGTTCTACAACTTCACTTGGTACGTGTGGCAGTTCTGCGCCCTCTTGTGTGACAGACTTAACGGTAGTAATACCACTCTCTTTAATTGGTTCTTCAGTCGCAGGCTCAATACTCTCACCAGGTCCTTGTGGTAACTCAGTTTCGGATATAGACTTAACTGTAGTACCTTCTTCCTCTTTAACTGGGAATTGTTCAGTTGGTATGGCATGTTCTTCATCTTCAACTGGTTGTCGTGGTAGTTCAGTTCCGGATATAGGTTTGAGTGTAGTACCTCCGTCTTCAATTGGTACCTGTTGAATTGGTACTTCATGCTCTTCATCTTTTGTTGGTTCTTGAGGCATTTCAGTAGTTTCTGGTTCGGGTCCAGATTTCGCTGTAGTACCTTCACTTTCTTTCTCTGGTACGTGTTCTACAGGTAGTACGGTAGCAGACACTTCACCTTCAGTTGATTGTTCAGGTAATTCGGTACCTTGTTTCTCCGGTATATACTTCACAGTTGTAGCTTCACCTTCTTTTTCAGGTACTTGCTCAGTTCCAACCTCACCAACAGGTCCTACAGGTTTTTCATCACCACTTGGTTGTTGAGGTACTCCAGTAGATTCTTCCTCTTTTTCTGGCACGTAACCACCAGTAACAACTTCACCCTCTTTAAGTGGTTCCTTAGTAGAAACTTCAACTGGTTGTACTGTGTGTTCTGTTATGATCTCTTCAGTTGGTCGTGCTGCATGTTCTGTTATACTTTCTTCAGTTTGTCCATCAACAGCAGGGGATATTTCCCCAGGTATCTTTTGTGGTTTTTCGGTTCCAGTTTCTACAGAAGGCACAGAGGTTGCAGCTTGATCCATTTCCGGTTTTCCTGTCGCTTCTGAAATCGGTTGCTCAGTTTCTTGTTCAGGGCCCTCAGGGATGTGATCGTGCTCAACAGGATATTGTTCAGGAGTTTCACCCTCGACAGGTGAAGTTTCTTCGGCATATTTCGTTGTTTCATCAAGTTTACCGTCAGTAATATAATCTGGTTTTTCAGAAGGTTGTTGTTCAGTAATTTGAGGTTCTTGTGGATGTTCTTGTGGTACTTGAGTACTTTGCTGAGGTCCTTCAGTAGTTCTACTTGCATCAGTTTCAGCTAATGTCACTTGAGACTGTGGTTGTTCAGTAACCTTAGCTGGTTCCTCATGTCCTTCTGTTACGTAGTCTGTGTGATGTGGAAGGTCTGTACCCACCGGATGTTCTGTAACTTTTTCTTCTATTTCCTTTTCAGTGATTTGTTCTTGGGGTAATTCTGTACTTTCGGTTAAGGGCTTATGTGTAATATGTTCATGTGGTTTTTCAGTTTCTTCCTCACTCACTACTGGAAGTTCGGTTATATGATCTCGGTGTATATCTTCTTCTTCCTTCGGTGATTCTGTTTGTTTTGATGTTTCTGCAGATACGTATTCCGTTGTTACTCCAGGTTCTTTTTCATCTAGCACTGGACCTTCAGTTAAATGCTCCTTCGGTACTTCAGTACCTTTTACTTCTTCATCAGTAGTTTCTGTTTCGGGCAATTTTTCGTCAGATGGAGCTTCAGTTGCTACTGGTTTCGGTCCTTCTGTGGTTACACTTTCATCCTCTTTAGGTATTTCTGTACTCTCACCGTGTACACCGGGCACTTTTGTAACATGTTCCTGAGGCACGTCTGTTCCCTCTTCTCCCTCTATATGATCTGTCGGTAATTCAGTACTTTCTTCCTTCTCGGGCACTTGTGTGCTATAATCTTTTGGTAGTTCAGTAACTTCACCTTCTACAGCAGGAGCTTTAGTTGCATGCTCTTTTGGTATTTCACTTTCTTTTTCTTCAGTGATTTGTTCTTGAGGAATTTCCGTTGGATGCATTATATCTTTATGCGGCATTTCAGTAAGTTTCTGTTCTACATCCTCTTGCGGTGTTTCAGTGATTTCATCACTGACAACTGGTTCATGTGGTACTTCTGTAACCTTTTCAGTTTCTTCAGTCACATGTGATTCAGGTTGTTCCGTAATTTGACCTTCTGGAGTAACAGGATATGATGGTTTAACTGTTTCAGCAGTTTCGTGTGGTGCTTCAGTAACTTGAATTTCTTTAGTGGGTTGTTCTGTACCGTGATCCTTTTCTTCGTCTTCTCCTTCGTGTTTAGGTACATGTTCTAGTGGCGTTGTAGTTACGCCTGTCTCAGCTTCTTCAGTGACCGGTACTTGTGGTACTTCGGGTACTTCACCTTTTTCAGGTTCTAGTTCCGTTACATGCTCTTCAGGCTCTTGTATACCTTTAACATCAGTTACAACTTCCATTTCATGCGGTAAACCTGTACCAATTTCGGGTGCCATTTCTGTAACATGTTCAATCACGTGTGGATGTTCTCGTTCAGTAGTAACTTGTTCTCCTGGACGTTCTGTCTGTGGCTCGCCCTCAATTGTAGGTTTAGCTGTAGGCTCGGCTTCCTCGGCAGGAACATGTTCTGGCTGTTGAGCAATTTCAGTCACATGCTGAGGAGTTTCGGTTACCCTGTGTTCTTCCTCCGTTACTGGTATTGGTGGTAATTTCGTAATTCCGGCTTCAGTTTGTTCACCTTCAGTTTCAGGTTCAGTGACGTGTGTTTTGGGGAGTTCAGTACCTTCTTCTGTAGGAATATATTGTGGTTTTTCGGTCACGACATGAGGTAATTCTGTTTCGGGTTTCTGTGGAGCTTCTGTACCTGCAGCTTCTTCGCCTTCCGTAACAGGTACTTGAGGTGCTCCGGTAGGGTGAACACCCGTTGGTCGCTGTGTTTCTGTGGAAGGTACTTCTGTTCCTTCGCCTTCAATAATATGTGGTACTTCTGTAACTTCAGGTTCTTGTGCAATACCTTGACCGGAACCGCCTTCATGTTCTTCAGTGTCTTCGCCTTCTTCTGGATGTTCAAAATCATCATGAGCAGGTATATGAGGGCCAGCTGTTACAATTTCGTGTTCTTCTGGAATTTCATTGAAGTCTACATCTTGTTCAGGTATCTGCTGTATTTCCGGATGTTCCGTTTCTTGCTCTTGTTCTATTGGTTTTTCAGTTTCTTGCACGGCGCCTTCAGTAAAGTGCTCTAGTTCCTGGTATGGTGTAACGCCAGGTTCCGACGGTTCTTGCGAATATTCTTTGTCAACACCGCTTGGCATTACCGTAACCGGTTCTTGTACAACTTCACCTTCCTTATCGGTTGTGGGGGCAGTAGATTCTTCACCTCTTTCTGGTGTAATTTCGTTCTCATCTTCTGGCACAGATGGTGTAACACCTACGTCTTCTGGTTTAGATTCAATTCCAGGTTGAATTGTCGATTCATCCAGTCTTACAGCTGGTGGAGTCGTGTATAAATAGCCGGTTGTTAATTCTTCTTCTACCATATGTTCGCATTCATAAGAGTCCGGACAACATTGTCCTTCCTTGGGAGGTAATGCAGTGCAGTTAACTTTATCCAGTGGTGTGGGATTACATTTTTGGACGGCACACACTATATCACCTTTCATACAGTAGCATCGTTCGCAACGATTGTCGCTCACAATGAGAGCTCCATCTGCGTAAACTTCATTATTGTAGATACAATCAACAGGTCCAGCAAGAGTCGTTGTGGGTAATGCCGTCGTCGTTATCAATCGTCTAGTTGTCGTTTCGAGAAGGTTATAATCTGGGTGTTCTGGAATTACCGGTACTTTAGAGGGAGAATCTAGGGATTTCATTCGTGCCTTACCGCAATTGTATCGAACTGGACAACATACACCTTCCTGATAAACTGGTTTGCATCCTTCGACTTCGAGCGTACATTGCTGCATGACACAAGCCGTCTTGTTTCTAATGCAATAACAGAGTTCGCATGGCTTATTTGGATCGGATGGTACTCTAGCACCGTCTGTATAAAACAGACCGTCGATCGAGCAACCGTAAGCGTCTAAATGTCCGACTGCCGTTGAAGATTGGGTGGTTGATGGCAAGAGCTGCACCGGTACTGTAAATGAGACAATTAGTTCTGTTTGTTGGCTTCGCGATAGAGGTAGTACCTTCAGGGCAGGTTATAACAGGACAGCACTGATCTGATCTTTTCTCGACTTTACAATCTTGACCGATCGCTTTGGTAAACGGACATACTCTAAGATAGCACATGAGCATCCTGTTATGGCAAGTACAATTCAAACATGGTTCGTTCGTGATTATCCTGTCTCCTTCGTCGTAATGTTGGAAGTTGTAGTAGCAACCAGTCGAATCCGCAACCGGATAGTATTCGATATCTGTCGTGTCGTGTTGTTGTTGTTGTTGTTGTTGCTGTTCAAACGGGGCTGAAAGAAGAAAAATTGGGTTAAACTCTGGGAAAAAAAATGTGGACCAGTAATCCGTGGCGTACAGGTCAGTGACAAAATCAAGGACGAAATAGGAGCGGTCCGAGCGATTCTCCGCATAGTAAATACTACACAACAAGTCGCATACATAATTACTTGACTCACACTCTCAAACAGTCTACTGTAAATAGGTGCGAATATTTGCATAGACGATTAAATCGGCCACCTGTACACAAACAAAGGTAGTACCGAACAGTACCTGGATGGGTCTGACAAGTTTGGCGACTTTCACACGTAACGACTTCCTAATTTCGGTTGTTTAACAAACCAGATGACTCAAAAATGGTCGTTTCTAGTTCCTCAAAGTCGAACCCGGTCGACGAACTTTGGATAAAAGTAACGAAATCGACGTTTCCTTCAAAAAATCGTAGAGAGTGAATTCCACCAGAACGTGGTAATGGATGCCGAAGGAGCATTCCATCGCTCTTCACTATTCACACATTTACGCAAACATAATCAAAGTGGAGGTAATGAACTTCTTACACGCGTTAAAGCCGATCTTGACTTGTAAAGTCTGCATTCACGGAGATGACCGCCGCCGCGTAGCGAGTTTATGGATATTTCCTACGTCTACTGGAAGGCGTAAAGCGTGCATTGCAGCGACTCCTTTCTCGATCTGTCGTCTTCTTTTGGTCGTCGTAGCAGCGGCCAACGTGTTGTCAGTAACTGTAAATCCGGTTACATAATCACGATCCGCACATACATCGCGTCATTTTCGAATGCAAAATGTATATGCATGGAACAAGACGAAAATGCGGTGGTCTGTGCGGCGAGCCGGCCGGCGTGGGAGAGCAACCAACAGAAGTACAGACGTCCGAGGAGACTGCTTGGGAGGTCAAGACGCGAACCTCGCCTCTAGTCGATTCAATTTTACACATGCCTCGTAAAAACTGCGCTTTATTAGTCCTGCCCGTAATTACACACCGGATCGGGTTACCGCCGCCACACGAAAAACACCGCAAATCGACCCATTAACACCGCAGACGTTCCCGGTGGCGATGGTCTTGACTGACAGTCGCGCATACCATCGCCTATTTGAATAAAACATCACGCGAATATTCCCGCCGCATGCTGGATGTGTTCCAATGAAGTTCGAGAAATTGCGGTTCTTAAAATTGTGTCCCATTCAGATTCACCGCATGCACGTCTAATTGAATATGCAGTACCAGTTGACGGTATTACATCTGTTACATTATGTTGACAACGTAATTTACTAGTTCACATACCAAATACTAACCTCGAAAAGTAATTGCCATGTTCTAGTTCATAGCAGACAGAAGAAGAATTTTAACAGCCTTGAAGCCATTCGCACAGAATGACTGTTGACCCCTTCAAGACAGCTTTGTTTGCACGATGCGCTTTTTTCAAACGTCCATTGCCAAGAGTAAATACGCCGTCGTCTGGCCTCTTCATTCATTTACTTAATTGCATACGCAAGGTCGACGCGACAACGCTATATTTACGTAATCGCGTCATAGAAAGCACATCTTCATTCATCCCAAAACTTTGGATCGATTCATCATCGAACCCCCAAGAGAAACAAGAAACTTTTCGCTGCCAACCGCGCCGCGGGTAAACAACCTTCGACCCGACAAACTTTCGCTACTGATCCAAAAACTCACCGATGAAAAATCGCGACCTGTCAAAACATCAACCCCACGACAGGGTATAATGACCCCGAGAACTTTATTAACTACAAGGAGCTTTACCGAACGCGATTGAACAGTATCGATTGAACGCCTAAACCGCAAAAGAAATTATATTTTATCTTGTGCTGTCATCACGATTATCTCAAACTTATCTAGACGTTATCTACAAGAAAATTCAGATTCAGATCTTTGAGCTTTCGGTTTTTATTCTATTCTAATTTGTTACGTCATTATTCCTAAAAGTGGCTCTAAGCTATGGGTTTATAACCTCAGGTGGTCATCTAAATTAGGGTCGCGAAAGTGAAGTTAGACGTATTTTTTGTGATTAATGGCAAAATGATGTCATGTTAGAGGCACTGATACACCTTGTATTTTAAATTTAAATTTTAGGTCGCGTGATATATATTTTGTTGCTTTAGGTTTTTCCACGCCGACTAGGAACCGCTTCTATGAGCAAAACCAGAAAAATAATAGGTAGGTGTTTTCAAAAGTAAAATCAACAAGTTTCCTTAAAAGGAGACAAAAATGGAACTCATTTTTGAGAAATGTAGTTGTCCATTATCAAAACTGTCTTTGCATTGTATAAATATCACAACAATAAACTATATTAGATTTGCAGTTATCTAAATAACACCAACTTTCATCAAAACGTTACAAAATCACAAGCGATATAAAAGTTACGTAATTTATTTTTTATGAAAACTATATGCAAGTTAACAATTCTTTTTAAACACTGTCTGGATGGTCATTGTTGTCTAGTAAAAGCAACCAAAAATTTAAAATTTGATCAGGTCTATGGTGTACACCATATCAAAAATCTTTTATTAGTGACTCAGTTCTACCACAAATTGCAAAATTTTTCCAAAATACCATTATGTTCTAATTTATATTCTATAAATCTTATTTTATCAAAATGCACTTGGCGAAACAAATTTTATTGAGGTATCGTATCACGTAATACATTGGTTTTGATATTTTAAACATTGAGCGAGCAAAACAGTGAAAATGTAAACACATAAAATCGTTCCTGGAAATTTTCGCTCTCGTAGCCCATATTAAACTGGAAGCATTTGAAACTAGCGGTCAACTTTTACAATAAAGATTAACCCGTTTCGCGTAACTGTGATAAAAATTTACGTTCATTGAAAAGCCATTACATAAATAAGATATTAAAGATTTTAGCACCACGTTAATTACGCCTGACCAAAAAAGTAAATTTAAGACGTCGTGTGCATCATAATGAAAACAACAAATAAAAATACAAATTTAATTACATGTATAACTGTTCAAACAATTCACCTTGATCTTTGCTGTTCTTTTGTATTATAGTAGCTGTCATAATTACACGACGAAATTGCGGAGTGCAGATCGCGGACCGTTAAAATACTAGAACCTCAGTGTCATTGCTTCTCGAATGACACTACTTGTACAACACGTTATTTTTAAACATTTTTCCGTCAATAACACCGAATTTCTCGCACCGATGGATTTATCGTGTACGCTCTGGCATTCTCCTTCAGACGCTCCGGGGGTTCGCTCCAGTGTTTACTTTAGCAGGAAGGGCACTTTAAAAAATCGAATTGTGCGATTTACGGGTCTGAAGCGACATCACCCCCGGTTCCGGCGTTTGATGCGATTACTGCAGCTCGTCGGCTCGAAAACTGCGGTGTAGATCAAAGGGAGACTTACGCCAGTCTATTTTAAAGCATTTTAGTTAAAGCTAATGAAAAGTCACTTACCGGCTATGGCTGCTTGGGGCACCAGCAGGGCGATAAGGAGGAACAGGGCCGGGCCCAGCTCGATTCGTTGAGTCCACGCCGACATGGCGCGTCCTGAAAAACGACAAGATTAGCGAATAAGAAATTGTAAAGGGTAGATTTTCACTATAAAGAGTCATGCAACTGTTACAACCGCAAAAGTGGTTTGAGAAACCATGCAGGTGCCGTTTTTTCAACAGTACAGTAACCGACACGTACGTTGGCCTATGTGGCTCCTTGACTCAAGATTATTCTCTTAACTGATGAGTTCTCTTTACTTGCATAACTCTTCGTCAGACCTCTCTGGAAACTATCACGACGGCGATTAAGGCAACAACCCAGACCAGACATCGGTCACACAACAACTCTAATGCATGTAAATTAATACATATATTCAAGATAATTATTTCACAAATGAGTTAAAACTCGCTAAATTACTGAAGACTAGGATTTAGAATTAGAAGTCAAAATTTTCTCACACTAAACACTTTTTTACCGTATTAAATTTTATCCAAGTAAACTATGATGCGGAAAAATTGTATGTTAAATTTTGGCTTTCGAGAGTGAAGCGAGGGTCAATCGCGGACTTTCGGGAACGATTTGGCGAGTTTTTTCGTTTTGGTGCGATACATGCTGAATCATTTTTTAGAAAATAGGCCGTGTAACGAGGTGTCTGGCGATTGAATTCGGCTTTTGTAAATATTTTTCCAGCTCGTGTCGCAAAAAATTCTCCACTTAAAGAATAAAGCAACGTTGGTTCGTTGCTCTCGTTACAAGATGGACAAAGTGCTTTTTCCTCCGTAGAGATCGCGATTTCATAGTCGACTTTTTTGGCGTAAAACGGGGTCTTTGACATCGAAACGGTCCCCGGATTCGTCCGGGATTTGTATCTCGATTCCGGGGTTTAGGTCTGCCGCGGAGGAGTGCGAAGGCTGTTTTTTGTTGCAGTTACAGTGAGTGGGTTCGTATTGCATTTTAATGACGGTCGGGCTCCTCGACGACGATTATGTGTATTCCAGTTCAATTTTATTAAAGTGAGGAGAGTCGTTGTCCGCCCATTATGGTAATTACGTCCGACTTCCGAATTTCGAAGCGCAAGTGTCGAGGAGTTAATTGCCGGCCTTCTGTTGGCATTGTTTGAGCCGATGGTGATTAGCTCTTTCTCGGTAATATCTGTGTTTGCTTGTAAATTCGACTCGTCACGAATACGTCTAGCGAATGGGTTCCGTAACGAGTTGAGCAAACTGGCCGTGGGCCGGCAACACCGTTTTTCCCATGACGCCTTGTTTACCATCGCGTTAGAGCAAATGTTTGCCTGATTAAAACCTTAAGCGAACGACCAACAGTCCGAAATTCCGAAAGGGTCAGCAGTGGCGAGGGCTCGCGAAAGCTCTGTAGCGAAGCGTCTTCTTGGAATCGCCGTCCGGACTAATCCGGGCGCTCCGGAAGAAATCGCGCCGCAAGAGCGAATCTTTCACGAGCCGGTCGTACCGTTTTTATCGTCTGAGCTATATTTACCTGCAACCTGTTCGAAGCGCACAATGTCAATGACTCGCCGCAAAAAACTTAATGATTCATCAAGGAAAACGACTGTAATGATGTAAGGATGGAATTAATTCGAGCTCGCCGGACAACCTTGGCGAATTACCTAACAATAACTGTGTCATTAACGGCCGAATTTTCCGGGACGACACCGGAGCGAAAAGCCGGGGGATTTTTACGCGGAACCGGTCGGCGTTGGCGCGTCCATGACTTTTGCCATTCGAGTAGTTACAGTTAAGTTATAGGGCCATTATGGCAAAATTATCGTCCGGAAGGTTAGTGTGCCAATGAAACTGGCCGGCCGCAGGACCCGTTCGGATCGGATCCCGTTGCTCGAATTCTCGAATTTGGCGCGTCACCCACGTCGGTCAGTTTCCAACATTTCGAATTTTCCCATTGGCCAATTAATATCGAGTGAAGTGCAAACAATTACTAGAATAAATAACTCGGAGGTCCTCGCCGTGTTTGTAGATACCTGGACCGATAGCCGTGGGAACTAGATAATGTTTGGAGACTAACACAGGGATGCAAAGTACGTCGGCAAACAGGCGGCGGCCCGCAAAGACCTTACACTCCGAGCCCGGCACTCAAGAGTCGGCCAAAACTTACGAAAATTCTCACTGCAATCCTCACTGCACTGCACCAACACTACCACTGGATGACTTACCTCGCTGCAGATCTGGGGGACGGCGACGAAGTACTCCGCACTGGCTCACGGTCGCCGATCGATGTCTTTGTGGTGTTGCTGTTCGTTCGCGATTTATTGTCCAGGAGGTCGACACCAAGAAGATCGAGCGGACAACGGACCGACCAGAAGTGAACTCATGCGAAGCTGCGCGCCGCAACTTTAAATAGTCGTCGGGGCGGGGGAATTGCCGCTCTTGGGCAACGAGTCTCTGGCGCTTTTGCTGCCGTGTGTGATTGGTTCGCCCCAGGGTAGAGAAGAAGCACGGCGGAATGCACGACGCCGACGGCGAACCGCGACACCCTTGCAGGACACCAGCCGAAGACACAACGCTGGCGCAGGAAAGGACAACCCCCAAGTGTCGAAAGGGGTAGTTCGAACACACAAAAAATCTTTGCCTGTTAACAGAAAACATAGGTCCTGCAAATCCAGCAGTAGTTCTACAAATACAAAATTGCAAAGAGTATAAGTCCGAGTCTGAGATTCCACGTGAAAATTCTCGGAAAATGCAAAAGTTGTCAATTTCACAAATTGTTGTTCGTGTTTTAGACAATATTTCTGGAATGATGAATAATATTAGGAAATTTCTCCGGAGACAACCCCAAATTGAGCCCCTCGTCGAGGGATTAAAAGAGCAATAAACGAATGATAGATGTAAAAAAAAAAATACAAAAATATCCGCAGGTGAGTGAATCATCATGCAAAGATATAAACCGGCGAGACAGACTTGAAAACTACGTCTTTGCGGATTTCTCGGAGGACGAAATATAGTGGTTATTTATTTTATATGATTTATGCCCCTACAGCGATATTTAACACTTTCGTTATTTTCTTGAGTCCCCATTGGACTCACTCTGACCATACGAATGCGGATGCCAAGTTCCATTACTGTCTTACGTTCATCTTTATTTTTTACGTTAAACATCTAAATTTTTGGAAAAACCAATATAACAATATTTTACGATTTAACGTAAAAACTGCAAATTCGAATACTCGTTGTCGTAAGGGTGGTAAAGGGCCAATTAAAATTTATCTGTCCATCCCTTCCAAAATTTTGCTGGATAATCCTGTCTACAATCTGCAAAATATTATTATTAATCTATACGTGTGGTTTATTAATGCATTACTCTTTTTTTTTAAATTTCATATGTAGGGTGACTCAGAAAAGGTAACGATTATCGATTAAGATTTTTAATTTGACATACAATATAATGTAACAACAATAGAAAGTGATTTTTTGCATATGGCTAAAACGGTGCGTCGTAAATACGACAAATGCTCAGCAGCCAGCAGTTTTGTTAATTTTCGACGCAAGATGTTTCACTGTGCATAAGTTTAGGCGCTGCCGGTGTCGACTGTTTAATTAAGAAATTCGGATGGTGTCATTTAGCCTAAAGCTGCGAATTCATAACCGTTCCTCGAGTGCGACTTCTTCCTTACCTACCTCAATAGCAGCTTGAAATTTCATAGGTTATCGAAACCCGCGAATTAATAAATTCTTTACAAATAACTGTAATACGCTGAAACGTTTTATTAGAGGATGGTGTGTATGCCGCAGGATTAATAATTTTGCATCATTCGCTTATGGGAAGCTGTGCTTCCGTGCTTCTATAAATAGCCCAAGCCCGTGAGACAATTACAAAAAAACGGGAAAGAAAAACACGTAGAGAAGAGCGTTCGAAGTTTCTCAAGAATAAAGTGGTGAGAGAAAAACCTTATCGGCGCAAGATTCCCGAGAATTATGAGCAAATTTGACACATTATAAGCTATAACAATGAGCAATTAAAAATACTCAGGAATTTCCATAAAAATACAAGTAAAACGCATAAAAACTGCACCAGAAGTACGGAAGCCGATAAAACTATTGCTGATAATGGTGAAGTTATCATGTTTGCTACGAATTTTAAACAATGACTTAATTTTACCGCTCAATTTGATGTTTTATCTGATACAATCTTCACGTTGAGCCGTAAACTTTCATCAGGCCGGTATTATTGCAAATTAAACGTTAAGGCGCCTCTTTGATTGCATCAGAAAGCGTGGTTAAACCCGAGCAAAAATGCGTATTCAATACCGGGATAATACATATTTTCGCTTTTCGGGGAAATGTATATCTATTCAAAACAATTATTGTACCAGAAATGTATACCTAAGTAGCAAATAGCCCCCTTCTTCAGGTTTCGTTGACAAGGTAGAAAACTTGACATATTTTTTTTAGAGAGCAACCCGCCCACACAGTGGCAGTTTGCGTTTTCTTCTGACAATGGACTTCATCAATAGTAAATTTGACAAAGGTCCAATTTATATTTCATGTAAACTCGAGGAAGGGGTATTTATTAAATCGTTCCATATTTTCATTTTTTTTTTCAAAATTCCAGAAAATATTTTAAACTTAGTTGAAAATTTATAGGGCTAACAGAAGGCTTATAAGATGGATCAAACTGGAGTGAGCTTGTAAAAAAATAAACACCATTTTTTTGTTTATTTTAGTAAATAATTTTCTTTCTGTTCATCTACTACTAGATATCCTTGATCTTGAATTGAGCGATTTGTCATAGAAGTGGCTCAAGGCTAAGTATAAATATAATTAATCTGACAAATATGCGCCATATCTATATGGAGCTTTTCCCAGTTTTACTCTGATAAATTGTACCATACGTCTGCGTCAGCATCAGTTGTCAAGAAGTCGATCGAGCAATTCCCCATCGGTTAGTGATTCGGATTAACCCGTCCGCTAGTTACAGTTTCCCGCAAATCCTCCGGATTCCGATGCCTCCGCGCCGTCAATTCCGGGTTTTCCGGTCGCACGCAAGTGTGAAAAAAGCCGTCTCGTACTTTCTCAGCGGTCCCCAATAATTGGTATGCCTGCGTCTAATTGCGTGTTTGCTCGTCGTAATTCACTCAAAAGTGAATGAGTAAACAAAGTTTAACATAAAATGAACATTATCAATATTTGTTCGTCCGTCCTGAATTCGTAAACATAATTACATAAATAAGAATGAACTCTTATCCGTCCGCGCTTCCTGCGATCGATTTACCTACCAGTGATTGACAGAAACTTCAACGTGCGATCACAACACCAACTCTTCACTTAAAAAAAAAGCTGAAAGTTTTCGGAAAAGCGTTCGGAGCGTGGATGCTGACGCAACAGACTACCGTCGCGACGCTGGACCGACGGTTAACAGAATCGTCGCCCTAAAGCAGCGCGCGCGCCTCCCTCGACCTACCCCTACACGTCTGGTGCGACACGTTCCATATCGAACCATCTCATCTCCGCAATTATCGCCCAAAAACAAATGGGACGAGTTCTCGCCTTCTGTAATTTATTCACCGTGATATACAGGGAGTTTCGTGTCAGATAACTGCTTTAATTAACTTTAAAACTACTGCTTGAGTACAGGATATACACCAGGACGTTATAAAACTGATTGTAACGCTTACAGTAATAATAGTGAAAACGTTAACATATGGGTACATTTAATGTATGATAATTCGTATTATACCAGCTTAATAATTTATACGTATTACCCTGAAGTTCAATGCTATCTACGTAAGATTTGATTATATTAACTATCCTGAGGTCGTCTGGATATATGGAAACACTTACAAGTTGAAAGGGACCCAGAATAGAACCATGTGCTACACCGCTGCCAAAACCGAAGACAGAAGCCGAAAACCTAGAATAGCTTTTATGTTGTTTCCTACTTACCACTACAGATTTCAGTAATATTAACAAATCCTCACGTAATCCAACATTTTTCAATTTACTTAATAATAATTAGTTGAACTTGAATTTTTCAGTTCTTAAATTTTTCTTCTTTATTTTTGGTTTTTCAATTTTTCGATTTGCAATTTTTCAAGTTTTCAAGTTTAAATTTTTCAGTTTTTCGATTTTCCAGCTTTTGAATTTTTCAATTTTTAGATTTTGAAATTTCTCGATTTGAGTTTCTCGAGTTGTCAATTTTTAATGTTTCAGTTTTTTGATTTGCAACTTTTCGTTTCGGTTTTTTTATTTTTAGAATGTTTCGATTTTTCAATGTTCCATTTTATTTTTTGTTTTTAAATTTCAATTTTTTAAATATTTCCCTTCTTCAATTTTTCGATTTTCAATTTTTCAATTCTTCATTTTTTTGGTTTCTTCGATTTTCCGACATGCAGCTCTTCAAGTTTTCATTTTGAAATTTTGCGATTGTTTGATTTGCAATTTCAGGAATTTTCAGTTTTCCAATTTTTCGATTTGTCAATTTTTCGACTTGCAATTCTGTTTCAGTTTATTTTCTTTATTTTTTCAAGTTCTCGGTTTTTCAGTGTTTTGATTTTATAATGTTTCTATTTTTCAATGTGAAATTTTTCAATTGTTGAACTTTTCAATTTTTCTTTTTGCAATTATTTGGTTTTCAATTTCTGGATTTTTCAATTTTTAGATTTTTTAGTTTTTCGTTTCTTCAATTTTTGATTTGTAGTTTTTCTGGTTTTAATTTTAAATATGAAAAAATAATTAGAATTAAAAAAAATCAATTTTTCAAGTTCAAGATTTTCCATTTTTCAATTATTGGATTTTAAAACTTCAACTTCTCGAATAAAAATGGAAAAATTACCAAATTATAAAATTGAAAAATTAAAATTGTAGAAACAAAAATTGAAAAACCGAATAATTAAAAACTGAGTAACTTAAAAATCGAAAAATTGCAGAACAAAAAAAAAACTGAAATATTGTGAAATCAAAATATGTATTACAAATTAAAGAAGTTGGAAAATCGAATAATTGAAAAAAGTTGAAAAACATAAAGATTGGAAAAGCGAAGAACTGAAAAATCAAAGTTTGAAAAAGTGAATAAACGAAAATTTATAAAAACGGAAGAAAGATTAGAAAAAAGGAAATGGAAAAACGAAAAATTGTGATATAAAACGAGAAAATTAAATAATCGGGAAAATAAAAAAATCAAGAACTTGAAAAATTGAGTAAGAAAAATTAAAAATTGAGTAAGAAAAATTATAAATTGAGGAACCGGAAAATCGAAAAATGAAACATTTTTCAGTTTTTCAATTTTTCAATTTTTCAATTTTTAGATTTTGCAATTTCTCGATTTGGGTTTCCCGAGTTTTCAGTTTTTAATTTTTCAAATTTTTAAATTTTCTAATTTTCAATTTGCAATTTTTCGTTCCGGTTTTTAAGTTTCTGGATTTTTAGCTTTCCAATCTTTCGTTTCTTCAGTGCCAGTGGTGTAATTTGCAATTTTTAGATTTTCCACTTTCGATTTTTCAATTTTTTGAATAACGAATGGCAAAATTGCAAAATTGTAAAATTGAAGAAATGAAGAATTGAAAAAATGAGAAACTTAAAAGTCGAAAAATTGCAAAATCAAAAAAACAAATATTGTGATCAATCAAAATGTAACAAATTAGAGAATTTGG